AAAAACTCATTAAGACCTGTCACAAAGCTGCTGTGGGTTGTTACAGTGTGTCTCACCCTCATTTTTAAAGATGTTTCATGGACAAATGCTCATACAGTGCCACGTGTGTGTTCCTCTCTCTGTCTTGTCTTTGTGTATGTTTGAGATGCAGCAGTTGGAGTCTCAGCGTGTCTGTTTCATCCTCATGTTGCTTCTTTTCTTTCTTTCCTTTTTCTATCCCACCACTTTCTTCTCCTGTCTTTTGCTAAACCTGTGGACCCTAAAAGTAAAATGAAAAAGATAAACAAGATGAGCTCACAGAGTCTACAGTGCTCTTCTTGGGAAAGCAAATGTGTTTGACACAGAATGAACTGCTAAACAGAAATGAGCTAATGACCTACACACAATATTTCACTGATTTTAAACAACTTCGGAAATTACACATTTCTGAGAAAAATACCCCCCCTGACCACGTTAAAGTTGCAATCCCTCAGGGGGAAACAGAAAAGCAAAACAACAAAAAACAAAAATTAAAAAAAAAATGTTGTGAACACTGTTATAGCTGAGATCATGAATATCCAGCTGTGGTCGAGCTTTAACAAAACATTTACGATGGAGTCGAGTCAAACATCATTTCACTTACATCACTTTAAAATGAGATTTGCCTCATTTTTATTCCTCTCTCCTTGTGTCTCATCTCTGGTAGAAGGAAGCAAAAGGGGTAGAACTCGCAATAAATCACTGGATCTGCTGCAGTTTGCATACTGGCCGAACAGGTCGACCAATGATGCTATTTCCACTGCTCTTCACCTCTCCCTCTCCCACCTGGACAAGAAAGACACCTATGTCAGAATGCTGTTCATAGACTTTAGCTCAGCATTCAACACCATTATCCCCCAAAAACTATTTGACAAACTCAGCAGGGATGTGGTTCGGAAACTGCAAAGTCGGTGACCCCAGCTACATCAGATAGTTAAAACAGCTGCCAAGATCATCAGAACATCTCTCTCTCTCTTACAGGACATCTTTCACAAGCGTCAGCAAGGCTTCCTGCCGATGCAGCCTCCTCCCTCACACCTCTCACGTGGACTCTTTTTTCTCCCTCCATCTGGCAGACGCTATCGCAGCATCTGGGCCCAATCCGAGTGCAAAATGCCCCCCCAAAAAGACACATCAGAGCACTTGGGCAAATATTGTGTGGGAGAAGTCCACACATTATTTAAAATGAGTTACTCCATCTCCCCCATGACTTTAAATGACTTCTTATAAGAATAAAGGGAAATGATCTCTGGGAGTAAATGCATCAGTGATGCATCTGTTTATAATCACGTGGTCATTTGAAAAAAGTCTGTTGTTAGTCTGACAGAGCTCAGGGTCAGCATTGTATGTAGGTAAAGTCACCAGCTTGCAACCTTCTGTCTGCTGTGCCGACCATAGTCTCGTGCTGCCATCTACTGACACTTAAGTGCAACAACAGGCTCTCCAACTCTAATCTTCCACCACTGAAACTTCAATAACACTCGTTTGATGAATGTGGAGCAGCTGTTTTGTATCTGATATGGAAGGAAATTCAAACAAACATACTTAAAAAAATGCCTGGCTCCTTGTCTTTGAACTGCAGGAAAGAAAAAGACGAGAGGTGTCAGGTGTGTTAGGTAGGTGATGAGTGAAGAACAGAACAGGAACCAGCTTCACTGTGAATCATGACATGTTTCCTGATTCTCGCTGGAAACCTTTTCAACCCTCAGCTAAATCTATCTACTGTGGCCTGAACTGGTTTAGTGTTGCCACACGGATTTTCAGAGTGGCCACAAAGTGACTGGAAAGCTCTGATAAAGCTTACTCTGTCAGCTTCTCTCCTTCATTCTCGCTTTCACTACTGTCAGTGTAACACTTGTTTTAAAGCACTCAGGGTAACACAGTGGTGGCCAGCCGGCTGGGGCCATGGGTTCTTGACAGCTTCCTCCCACAGTTGAAAAACATCCACAGGTTAGGTTAACTGGTGAGTCTAAACTGGTGTTGATGGTTTTCTGTCCGACTGGCAACCTGTCCAACTAGTCCAGGGTGTACCTGTCTGTAGCCTTCTGGCACCTGGGATAAACTCAACCCCAACCTTGACCTCGAATTTGATGAGTGGAAGTGGGCTGGGTTAAATCTCACCAGCAGGTGGCGCTATTGCTTTGTCTGTTCATAGGTTGCATTGCGATAGCTAGTAGCGGCTAGGCAGAGTCAGAAGCAGGAAATATTTCTCACATGTGCACTTGTGATGGTTTAAGAGTCATGAATGAACCCAACTCCATCCTTGTTTATGACTTTGTGGAAAACACTGCCTCTGAGTATTTTGAGCTTTTGACATGTTTTCAATTAGAATTTTTTGGTACTTTAGGTACAATTGTGATTTTTATGGAAGTTAATTTTAAGAAACAGGCTACTATGTAACTTCAGGTCTCATTGCACCTTGTTTAGTTTTTACACTTCAGCTATAAAATGTTCATGAGGGATTGTTGTGCACACTCAAGTTTGTGAATGTGAACTTGAGAAGGAAAAGGAATTAAAAATCAATACCATAGCTCTAGTAAAAAATCTCAGACAAGTATAAATCTCAGGGATATTAACCTCAAGGTCAGAGGTCAAATGAAAAAAAAAATCCTGTCAGGTGACGTAGGATATTGAAATTGATACCATAAGTGCGTCGACCCTGAGACTGAAGTACATGTTTCCTGATGTCTGTTAGTTTTACTTTACATTTTGAAGGGCCGTCTTAATAAAGTAGCCAGCACACCTGTCACTGGTCAAAGAGCTGGCTGTCTGCTTAGCTGTGCTTCACACAGTAGTAGCAGAACAGGAGGAAAGTGGATAGATGCACGTATCTTGGCATTTATGGAAGTTGATATTTTACTAATAAGCCAGTTCAATAAATGTATAATACTAAGAGTATATACCTGAAGCCAGGACATGACTAATAAAATGGATGAAAGCAGGAAGAGTGAATTCTTACTCTTGATTTAACCGGCTTGTCTTGCTCATCGAGGGACAAACAGTTACAGAGGACACACTCGAGGCTTCAACTCACCTGCAGGTGTAACTTTCAGCTTGGTTTCCTGCTTCATCTCAGATCTCTGGCTGTGATCTGTTTCATATGAGATGTGGCACTCATATGTTCCAGTGTCGTTAACGGTGACGTTGTGAAGAATGATGGACATTTTTCCACTTTTCATGTTTGGGTCTTCCAGCTCCACTCGACCTTTGAAAGACTCATGCTGGTATGTTTTGTAAGGACGACCTTCCCGGTAAAAGAAGCCATAATCATCTACTTTCAGGTCACTCTTGGTCCATGCTACCCATAAGATGTTCCCTTCATGGGGACCCTGACAATCGAGAGTTGCATCCTCTCCAACCTCCACTTCTTTCTCATCTTGGACTAAAAGAAAGGAAAAGAATCCAGAAATACTGCACACCCCAAATTATAGTTGGATTAGTGTTGTTGGTTAGTGCATTACAATCATTCTGGACAGGCTCATATTTACAAGCAGCACACTGTCACAGCCCCATTTTTCAATAATCCCAAACCTCATTTAAGTAAAACTTTGGGAAGATTTTGGAAATCTGCCAGTAGAAAAGATTAAAGGATGTACAAGGAGGTGCACCTTTAATGTCCGCACATCCTCTACGGAGAATAAAACAGTGATTAAGAGGGACAGCCTAATTGAAAGTGTATTTATATTTCAGTTTGGTGTGATGTATATTGGGACATTTATATATAAGAACTATTTCATGATATTTTGTATTATTGAATATTGAAATTTGCCTTGTTTGTTATTTTCTTATTTATTGGAGCAACTGTGCGATCCATTTTCACAACCAGCAGCAAAGAGAGGCACTGACTGTTGCATCTAGCCTGCTAAACCCTGGGTTGTTCCCTCTTGTCTGTGTGTTTTATATGTGTAAAGCAACCAATATAACCTTTGTTTGTACTCACTTGTTTGTATGGAATATTTTATGTGTTGTAACTTTTGCTGCCATGATGACAGGTAAATGGTAAATGGCCTGTATTTATATAGCGCTTTTACTAGTCCCCCCTAAGGACCCCAAAGCGCTTTACACACCCAGCCGTTCGGGGACATTTACAGGAAACTCGATCATATTTGCTTTGCAAAAACTTTACTATCAAAAGGTAAACAAAGACGAAGTGGGTCACTACAAGAAGTCGAGTCACTCGGTTTGTGTGTTAGTTTTGCTTTATTTATTTTTTCTGCTGATTTATTTATTTATTTTCACTTTTAGTTATTGCTATGTTAGTAGAAGTTGTTGGTCTCTGGTTGCCTGAGCACTGTAAGTGTGGACGCAGCTTTAAGCTGGAGATAACAGACCTTTCACTATGTTGTAAATTTCAATAAGATTACGTTACCATTCGTGCCAAATTGGCATCAGTATCACCTTCAGACAACAACACGTCCGGCCCATGCCTAGAAATGGGCATCCTGCGATATATGTGTTTGGATTTTCGTTTTGTAATTAACTACGTTGTGTTTTTCATTGATGATTGAGATGACTGCCTCCTCAGCCTGTCCACACTCTTGTAGGCAACTGGAAAAATATCTGTGAGTGCATCTTGTGAGGGCAGATAACTTTATTTATTTACTTATAATTTTTGACACTTCCCTTTCTCAGACTGCTGAAGAGGATTTCTACCTCAGATTCTTAGTAGGACAGAGAGGTGGAGGGGAAGGATAGGGACAGGATGTGTTTACAAAATTGTTGGAGTCTTTTTTTTTTACTCATTGTACTCTAGTACAATGGCTATTGTATTGTAAATTGTACAATTTATTTGTATATCCTCCTGTTTGGTCCCAGCATCTGTCTTCAGCTGTCAGAGGAACTCTGTCAGCTCATCTTGGAGTATCCGATGGATTCGTCACCAAATTGCAAAATCTGAATGAATTTTTATGACTTTTAAGTGTTTTGTGGGGATTTTTCCTAAGGATTATAAACTGGCTAAAACCCAGGACAGAAATAATATACCAGCTTCCATCGTCAGACGAAACTCCAAATACGTATCAGAGGATGACTCACGTCCAACTCAGGCCACAAAACCTGAACCCTCGACAGGGGAAAACAACACCACGCCGAACCTGCTCTGGGAATCCCAGCACAGAGAGCAGAAACTGACAGGTGGAACCGTGAAGCAGTGAGCTGGGTTTTTAAAAATGCGTCGCTGCTGCCTGATGTTGGGCCCACAGAGGAAGACGACTCACTCACTCTTCTTAACTTCCTTCCTAAGAATGTGGAAGAAGAGCAAAGTGCTGCCAGACTCTTATTTATGACAGGAACAGAATAAACCACAGCAAACTGTTCCAGTTCTTCTTCTCTCTGGCTCTTGACGAAGGTGGTAGCATTTTCTCCCTCTCCCTTCCCTTATCCTTCCTGCTTGGCTTTCTCATGTCTCTGTCTTGTCTACTTTTCTCCCTCTACCCTGGAAGAGTCTCACAGTCTGTTCTCTAAAACCTAAA